TCTATAAAGATGACTCGGTTTTCTATATGTTTGAGAAATGAAGTCTTTATCAGAGAAACTCATTGCTAAAAACTTTTTTTCCCATAGTAATGATTACCAACTATACATTTCCCTCTATCCTATTTTCTTCCTGTTAATCCTACTCTTTCTCCTTTTATCCTGTCCATTTTTGAAAGTGTTTTGGTTCTGCTTTTTACCTCCCCCAAACTGCCCACCCTTCTATCAACTCCCCCCTTCTATTATCCTCCTGCCCTCCTTCTTTCCTGTATGTTAAGATAGATTTCTACACCCAATTGAGCATGTATATTATTCTCTCTTTGAGCCAATTCCAATGAGAGTAAGGTTCACATATTCCCCTCCCCTCTTCCCTCATTTTTCCCTCCACAGTCTTTTAGGCTTTTTATGTCAGATAATTTATCTTATTCTACCTCTCCCTTTCCCCTTCTCCCAGTGAATTCTTATTTCTTATCCATTAATTTCATTTCTTTAGATAATCATATACCACATTCAACTCACACCTCTGCTTTCTATGTATAGTCCTCCTAACTGCCCTAATAATGAGGAAGTTTTTTAGGAGTTATAAACATCATTTTTCCAGGTAGGAATATAAACAGTTTAACCTTATTGAATCTCTTATGATTTCCCTTCCCTGTTTACCTTTTTATGCTTCTCTTGAGTCTTCTACTTGACAGTCAAATTTTCCATTCAGTTCTGGTTTTTTCATCAGGAATGTTTAAAAGTCCTCTATTTCATTAAATATCCATTTTCCCCCTGAAGGATTTTATCCAGTTTTGCCGGGTAGATGATTTTTGATTGTAAGCCTAGCTTTTTTGTCCTCTGGAATATCATATTCCAAGCCCTCTCATTCTTTAATGTAGAAGCTGCTAAATCTTGTGTTATCCTGACTGAGGATCCATGGTATTTGAAATGTTTCTTTTTGGCTACTTGCACTATTTTCTCCTTGACTTAGGAGGTTTGGAATTTGGTTATAATATTCCTGGTAATTTTCCTTTGGGGATCTCTTTCAGGAGGTGATTGGTGGATTCTTTTGATTTCTATTTTACCCTCTGGTTCTAGAATATCAGCATAGTTTTCCTTGATAATTTCTTTTCTTTTCTTTCTTTTTTTTTGGTGAGGCAATTGGGGTTAAGTGACTTGCCCAGGGTCACACAGCTAGTAAGTGTCAAGTGCCTGGCCTGAGACTGGATTTGAACTCATGTCCTCCTGACTCCAAGGCTGGTGCTCTATCCACTGAGCCACCTAGCTGCCCCTCTTTGATAATTTCTTGAAAGATAATATCTAGGCTGGATCATGACTTTCAGGTAATCCAATAATTCTTAAATTATTTATCCTGGATCTATTTTCAAGGTCAGTTGTTTTTTCAGTGAGATATTTCATACCTTCTTCTATTTTTTCCATTCTTTTGATTTTATTTGATTACTTCTTGATGGCTCATGAAGTCATTAGCTTCCACTTGTCCAATTCTAACTCTTAAGGAATTATTTTATTCAGTGAGCTTTTGTACCTCCTTTTCCATTTGATCAATTCTACTTTTTAAGGAGTTCTTCTCTTCAGTGAATTTTTGTATATCCCTTTCCATTTGGCCAATTCTGCTTTTCAAGGCATTCTTTTCTTCATTGGATTTTTGTGCCTCTTTTACCATTTGGCCTATTCTGTTTTTTAAGGTGTTATTTTCTTCAGTATTTTTTTGTGTCTCCATTACCAAGCTATTGATGTTTTTTCATGATTTTCTTGCATCACTCTCCTTCCCCCCCCAATTTTCTTCTACCTCTCTTACTTGATTTTTAAAATCCTTTTCAAGCTCTTCCGTGGTCTAAGACTAATTCATATTTTTCTTTGAAGCTTTGGATGCAGGAGTTTTGACTTTGTTGTCTTCTTCTGAGTGTGTGTTTTGATCTTCCTTGTCACTCTTGTAACTTTCTATGGTCAGAATTTTTTCCTGTTGTCTAGTCATTTCCCACCCTATTTCTTGACTTTTAATTCTATGCTGAAGTGAGGCTCTGTTTCCAAAGTGGAGGGGGCACTGTCCCAAGTTTCAGGTTTTTTGTGCAGCTGTTTTCAGAGGTAATTATGAGGATCTGTAAGGTTTTGGCTCTTCCAAGGTGGTATGATCTAAGGAGACATGTGTTGTGTTTACTATTCTCCTGTACTGTGCACTGCTTTGTGAGTGACCACAAGCTCTCTTTTCAACTCTGGAATTATGACCAGGGCCCCTGATCCCCTGGGGTCACAAGCTCTGCTGTACTAGTGCTCCTCTTCACACTGGGACTAAGACTCAGCACTGCAACTCAGATCCAAGTATAAGCAATGCAACAGAGTCCTGCCCTGGTTCAAGCAAAGGGACCCCTGTAAATCTCCTTCTGACATGTTTTCTGATCCCCTTTCCATCTGTGGGCTGAGAGGTCTGGAAACTGCCAGAGCTGCCCAGTATTCAGTCACTCTGAGGCCTGCTCCTGGTTTGCTGGGGCCAGGTCTGTACTGACACAGCCTGTGCTAGACTGCACTCCACTATCATCCAGGTATAACAGACCTTTCCTTCTGACCTTCTAAGTTGTCTCGGGCTGAAATTTTTTTTTCACTCTGTCCTTTTGTGGGTTCTGCCGCTCTAGAATTTGTTTAGAGCCATTATTTAAAGGTATGTGGAGGGGTTTGGGGAAGAGCTCAGACAAGTCCCTGCCTTTACTCTGTCATCTTGGCTCTGCCTCCGTCTGGTTAATGTTTCAATGTTGTCTTTTAGTACTCACAGCACATTGCCAAAAAGCTGATGTATGACTATGGACCCTAAATCTTCCTTAATTCCATTTTACGCAGAAGAAATTATGCTGTTATGTGTGGCATGTTATTATCCTTCTTGTCATATGTGATGCCCTGGCTCTATTATAATTTAGTTCTAGGAAAAAAAATCGACCCTAATAACAGCTATTTCCTTGCACCCCATAAAGTATTAAAGTTGGTAACTTTGCACAGGGAGTTCTAACCATGAATCACAAGCAAATACATAGCAAACATGCAGCAAATGCAAAGCCTTGGGTCACCATATATCCTGGAGAGAGTGTTGGGAGATGAATAGATACTCAATCACCAGGAAGTCCTTTTGCTTGTGTGAAAAATTATCTTCCACAGACAATGGACCCACTAACTGACTTTCCTATTTCCCTTGATCTATTCATCTATAGGCACAGTGACATAAAAATGCCAGGAAGAAATGTAGCCCTGAATGAGACTGCAGTGAAAAGGAATTGCTGATTATGAAGGTAGTAAACCTGGATTGGCCAATGATATCCAGGCTTGGTACTCACAAGTGGAACCATGGAGAGGGCCCGTCCTCTGTGGCTGTCATCTCACTGCTGTAATGGCTGTTAGTCAGGAAGGAGAGAGTAGGCCTAGGCATCTGTCAACCAAAACCTGATCTGGGCTTTCATTTTTGTGCTGTGTGCCCTAGGGAGAAGAATTGAGAGCCCTCTGTTTCTGATGTTTACCAGATCCTAAGGCTAAATCTATAGATTTGGAGCTGGAAGGGACCTCAGAGGCAATCTACTCCAACCTCTTCATTTGACAGATGAGGAAACTGAGGCTCAAGGCCACACAAGAGGCAGAAGCAGAATCTGAGCTAGGTCCTCTGATTCCAAATTCATCCCCCCCTTCTTCTGTCCCACACTTCAGACAATCCTGACCTGGAAACCAGGAGGCCAGAATTCTGGCTCTGGTGCTATCATTAACTCTGGGCAAGTCATTTACCTTCTGGACCTGGAGTCAGACATATATTACCCTAGGCAAGTCCCTTAACCTCTCTGAGTCCCAACACCTTAATTCATAAAATGGAAATTTTTCCACTTCTCACATGCTCTGACTTCAGGACCAAACCAAACTTTCAGAAACACTACTCCTCAAGAGGAACTCAGCTCACGTGTGGAGGATCAAAGATTTATTTGGAATGACACAACACTGAAAAACATAATCATTACAGATGACTTCTGGATACACGATACATTATTGATTTTTTTTAAAGGATCTGTGAAGGTGAGCTGCATAAATATAAGGAGTGAAAGTAAATGGGAAATTTCTTTTTCATGGAAGTGTGTTTGGGGATAGGTTCTTTCCCCCATCTTTCAGCCAATCTCATACAAAAGTATACTCTTTAATGTCGCATTAGTGAGAGGAAACATTTTAGGTACTTAACCAAGACTCACACGTCTCTAGCGACAGAAGTCACTGACATCAGATTCTTTTGCAGCTTCAAAATCACCGTTCGTCACCTCACTGTGAAAAGTGCACGTTACACACACAGACGCCGTCTAATGCTTTGGCAACGGGGCAGCTGATTTTGCTCAGGAAACAAAACCATGTACTATAATGCCAGACAGTTTAAGAGCAATACGTGTCCCCATGACACACTGAGGTAAAGAACCAAAGGAAGGGCTGGGCATGGAGCAGGGATGCCTATGTGGCTAGATGTGTGCACAGAGGGCCAGGAGTCTCAGGCTGCATTGGAGGGCTGGATGGGTTTGTAGATATATGAGATATAGAGATATGGCAGAAAAGAACATTGAAAATGTTTGCAGCAGTTAAGGTTTAAACATAGACAACCCAGAGTGAAAGAAAGACAGGAGAGAGAGAGAGAGGGAGAGAGAGGGAGAGAGAGAGAGAGAGAGAAGAAAAGAGAAAGAGTGAGAAAAAGACAGAGAAAGACAGAACGAGACAGAGACAGAGAGATAGTAACAGAGGCAGATACATAGAGACAGAGAAGAGAGGGGGGAGAGGAGAGAGAGACAGAAGGAGGGAGGAAAGGAGACAGAGAGAAAGAGAGAGACAGACAGAAGAGAAGGAGAGGGGGAAGACAGGAGACAGAGAGAGAGAGAGACAGAGGATGGGGAAAGAGGGAGAGAGAGAATGGAGATGGAGACAGAGAATGGGGAGAGAAAGAATGGGGAGAGAGAGAGAGTGAAAAGAAGGGGGAGGAGGAAGGGGAGGGGAGGGAAGGAGGAGGACTGTGACTGCCTCATTATAGGATTATTCATCAAACCTTCCGCAGCACAGAAGCTCAATACAATACACTTGGTGCAGAGAAATTAAGGTTCTGGTCTTGAGGGAGCTAATTTAGACCTCACGGGGAAGGGATCAAGTACAAGATTCACCATAGCTCAGAGAAAGCACAAACAAACCTGTTGTCACAAACAGAAGGACAAAGGAGGATGCCCTCCCTTGCTGCTTCGGAGGAGTTCACTTTACTTTTTAAAATGTTACTTAATTTAACGTTTTTTTCAACACATGCTCCTTGAATATGTCTCCCCCGGCTTTGCCGGACACCAGTCTGCAAAGTGTTAGCAGTGTTGCTACTCAAGCGGGCTCCTCTTTTTCCCATCGGTTTGGAACACCGCTGCCCAAGCTCACTGTAGAACAGCTTCACCTCGCCCCGTGGAGCGTGGGGAGAGGGGGACTAATCCAGGCGGTGGGTGAAGTTCTCTGGGAAGAGGCCCTTGTAGGCATCCAGGTCTCTGTACTGAAGCCAATCTGATTCCTTCACACCTATGAGCCAGCCCGCATCCTGCAAGGGAAAGGACAAGCCTCTCAGGGTCACTGTGCTGAATGCTGGAGGGGAGGAAGAAGGAAACAGAGATCTAGACCTGGGAGGGACCCCAGATGCCAGCTAGTCTACCCCCTTCCCTTTATTCTAAGGTTCACTAAGAGCTGAGGAGGTGGAATAAGCATCGAAGGCAAGATCTGAACCTATGTCCTCTGACTTCAGGCAGAGCTCTTTCCATGGCACATAGAGAAAGACGGTGATGATGAGGAGGAGAAGGGGGAGGAGGGGCAGGGGATGTTATACATTATGCAGTTCAATCTTCTCATGTTACAGAGAAACAAACCCAGAGATTTAAAGAGACTTGCCCAGGGTCACACATCAGGTATGTGGAAGAGCTGGGACTCAGCTTTTCTGATGCCAAATCCTGACCTATTTCCATTAGAACAAACATGGGGGGGGGGATCAGGAGCAGAAGGAAGACGAGGGCAGAGGAAGATTCCCTAGCATGTAAATAATAGTTTTATAACAAACACTTTTCAAGCTCCTTTTATTTGCCAGGCCCCGCACTAGGTTCTGGGGATGCCAAGAGAAACAAAAGCATCCCTGCTCTTGTGGAACTTGCAACTCTTATGCATTTAAGTAAAGACAGGCTATACCCAAAGCCAATTCTCCTGGACTCCCAGCAAGGCAGACAGTGTAATGTCAAACTTCACCTCAGCACCTGGCACATAGTAGGTGACTAATACATTCCAGCTGACTTGATTCATCATAAAGTACTATTACACAAACTGATTGGCTCTCTCATAAGACTGAGAGATCTATCCCCAAACACATCATCTTTCCTTGCATTAGGAAAAAAAAACTCTTCCAGGGTAAGGCCAAGAGAACTGGCCTGGGAATCATGGGAGCTGGGTCCTAGTTCAGGACTTTCATGTGTGACCATGGGAAAATCACTTAAGCTCCCTGGGCCTCAGTTTCCTCATCTGTGAAAAGAGCTAGTTGGATTATATGAATTCTAAAATCCTTTGAAACTAGTTGCCCCTATATAGAAGTAAATGGCTCCAGTAATCTAGTGTTTGAAAAACCCAAAGATCCAAGGTCTGGGGGCAAGAACTCACTATTCAACAAAAACTGCTGGGAAAATTGGAAAGTCATCTGGCATAAATGAGTTACAGATTTCACACCATGTACCAAGATAAGCTCAAAATGGGCACATGAATTAGACATAAAAGGTTATATGAGCAAATTAGAGGAGCATGCAAACAATGACCTGTCAGATTTATGGATAAGGGAAGAGTTTATGATCAAACAAGAGAGGGAAAGGGTCACAGGAAGTAAAATGGATAATTTTGATTACATTAAATAAAAATGTTTTTGCACAAAGCCAACATAGTCAAAATTAGAAGAAAAGTGGGAAACTGGGAAAAAATTTACAGCACATTTCTCAGAAAAAGAACTCATTTCTCAAAGAGATATGCAACTGAGCCAAATTTATGAAAAAATAAGAGTCATCCCCCAATTAATAAATGGCCAAAGAATATGAACAGGCAGTTTTCAGAAGAAGATATCAAAATTATCAATAGTCATATGAAAAAATGCTCTAAATCACTGACAATAAGAGAAATGCAAAATAAAAAAAAAACTTTGAGGTACCACCTCAACCAAATTGGCTAACATGATAGAAAAGGAAAATGATGGATATTGGAAGAGATGTGGGAAAATTGGAACACTAATACATTGTTGGTAGAGTTATCAACTGATCCAATCATTCTGGAGAGCAATCTAGAACCACAACCATAAGCAAGTGTAGAATCATGGGATGGGATGACTTGTTGAACGGTATTATAAGTAGGCTTGTGCCTACCTGCATTTGGTTAGGTAAGGCTTCATAAAGAAAAGCTGAACGTGACCTGGGCCTATGGAGAGTATACTGTCATCCCAATAAAGCCACTTCATTAAACAAATATGCAATACTAATTAAAACAAGTAATAACTTCATCACCATTTCAGGTTACAAAATAAACACTCAAAAATAACTGCATTTCTATATAATAATAACAAAACACAAGGAGCAACGAGAGAAAGGAAAATCTCATTCCAAATAACTACAAAAGGCATAACATATCTGGGGATCAGCCTACCAAAGTGCAGAAGAGATTTGGAAAAATTCAATTATAAGGTTTTTAATAAAGAAATAATAACTTAAATAACTGAAAAATATTCAATGTTCATGGCTAGGCTGTACCAATATAATAAAAATGGCATTACTACCAAAGTTTTATACTATATCAATATATACTACACTTTTAAACTGTATCAACCATATTACCAAAGGGATATTTTGTAGAACTTGATAAAATAATAACAAAATTCTCTTGGGAAAGCAAAAGTTCTAGAATATCAAGGAAAATGATGAAAAGAGATAATAGAGATAAAGGAGGAAGAGTACTTCCAGACCTCAAACTATATTATGAAGCAGCAGTTATCAAAACCTTCTGGTCTTGGTTAAAAAATAGAGGCAGCTCTATGGAACAGACCAGGCAAGGGAGAGTCAGAATGAAGGGGTTGGACAGATGACCTTAATGGTCCCTTCTAGTTTTAAACTCTACAGTGGAGTATGGCTTATTGGAAAAAACTCCTGGATATGGCTTCAAAGGGCTTTAGGGGGCTGAGAATGATTTAGTCTGTGGAAGATGAAAGTGAGCCTGTTAGGAGAGATTTATCCCTTGGGCAATGTTGATCCCCCATTAATCCTTTTTTTTTTAGGCAATTGGGGTTAAGTGACTTGCCCAGGGTCACACAGCTAGTAAGTGTCAAATGTTTGGTCTGAGGGCAGATTTGAACTCAGGTCCTCCTGACTTCAGGGCTGGTGCTCTATCCACTGCGCCACCTAGCTGCCCCAATCCCCCATTAATCCTCAAAGGAAGGTGATCCAGTTTGGGCTAGTGAGGAAGTGAATTTAATCTGAGCCTATGCCCCATACAGCCCAAGCACATTAGAAGGGAGCACACACAAGGCTTCATTCATTTGCATTCTTGTGTTAGGGGGATACAAATAGATGCCGCCCAGTAGACCAGAAATATAAGCCTTTAGACAGGTGAGTTTTGAAGAAGGGGGAAAGGAAGCATGGAGATAAAAAGACTCAATAAAATAACTGTTAATATCCTAGTTGGTGAGAAGAACAACCTTCTGGAAATTATGATGTTATCTATACAAAGGACAAATATGTGCTTCGAATAATGGATGAGAGGGGAATACATTCTGACCACTTCTCCCAAGCATATAAAAGGTCCATTTTTCTCTTCCATGCCCATGTCGAATTCCACCAATGCTCATGGGAAGGACAAACCACAACCTAGGACATGGAAATGGAATAACAAACAAAAGAAGCTGGCCAAGGCTAAGGATTTTTCTTAAAGGACCCAAATGAGGAAAAATCAAGTGGCAAAGGTCTTGGGTCATTTAGTACTACTGGACATATCGCTTTACCCATATTACTGTATGTGGGAATGGCTTTATCCACCATTTCAACAGTTTCCTTTAAAAGCATCCAAAAACACTTTGAAAATGTTCTTTCTCTTGAATTATTCTGAAGATTTTTGAGAGCCAGAATGTTTTTGTTCATTTTCTTTGAATTCCCAGCACCCAGACCAGGATCTGGGACTCAGTTAAGGCTTCATAAATATTTTGATTGAATTATTATGATTAGTACCTGGCATAGGGACTGGCAGACAGTAGGTGCTTAATAACTGCTTATTGATTGGTTGAGTGATGCAAGGAAGCTGGCAATAAAGCACTGAACTCCCAAAGAATATTACTTTTTAAAAAATGGAATCCTGGGCTCATCTTGGAGTACCATAGCAGGGCAAATGAGTAAAAACAGATTTTTATCCAGAAACTTTCAGGGTTGTTTTGAAGTCTAAAAAATTCACAATTAAAAATTGAAGATGTTCCTGACCTGATGAGTGTTCACACCAAAACTGGGCTTGGGAATTAAAATGAAGAAGAAGGGAAATTGGAATGTTTCCCCTTTGGATTCTGAGTCTCTGGTCTGAAGCCAGAATCAGACCCTAGAACATGGAACACATTGTGGGATAGGTGTGTAAAGTCAAGTCCCTTTCACCCCTCACCACTGCCCAACTCATTGCTCCTTGGAAGAAGACCAGAGAGAGAAAAAGAGAGTGGGAGAGAGAAGAGAAGAGGAGGGACAGGGATCATAAGAAGTGGACCAAAAAGTGTTCTTCCTTCTTTGACTCGCCTGTGGAGACCTCAGACTGATTGTTGGGGCTGACACAGAAGGGGGCCTGGAAGACCCTGGGAATTCTGCATAGACAATGTCTGCTTGTTTGAATGCTCTATTGTAGAGAAGATTCATATGGTCTGAAAGAAGACCAGGACCCAGTAGAATGTGAGCTCCTTGAGGGCAGGAGTTATGTTCTTTTACAAAGGATCATGCATAAATTTAAAAGTAGAAGGGCCTTTCAAGGTCATCTAAGGTCATCTCATTTTAAAGATGAGGAAACTGAAGCCAAAGAGGGAGAATCATTGATTTGCCTAAGCTCGCCCTGCTAACAAGTGGCAGAGCTGGGACATCTGCACTCTAAGTGCCTAGCACAGTGCCTTGCACCTATCAGATACTTAAAGCATGTGTTGTTCAGTCCTTCAGTCATGTCCGACTCTTCATAACTCCAAGGATCATAGCTCTCCAGGCCTTCTATCCTCCACTGTCTCTCGAAGTCTGTCCAAATTCATGTTCATTGCTTCCATGACACTATTTAGTCATCTCATCCTCTGCCATCCCCTTCTCCTTTTGCCTTTAATCTTGCCCAATATCACGGTCTTTTCCAATGAATCCTGTCTCCTCATTAGGTGGCCAAAGTATTTAAGCATCAGCTTCCAGTGAATAGCTTGAATTAATTTCTTTAAGTCCTGACTAATTTAATCTCTTTGCTGTCGAAGGGACTCTCAAAAGTCTCCTCCGGTACCACAATTGGAAAGCATCAATTCTGTCGTGCTCAATTTTCCTTATAGTCCAACTCTCATAGCCATACATAGCTACTGGAAAAAAAAACATGGCTTTAACTCTATGGAACTTTGTCAGCAAGGCGATTTCTCTGCTTTTTAGTCTGCTGTCTTGATTTGCTCTAGATTTCCTTCCCGGGAGCAAGTGTCTTTTAATTTCATGGTTACAGTCACTGTCTGCAGGGATTTTAGAGTCTAAGCTTATAAAATCTGACACTGCTTCCATTTCTTCTCCCTCCATTTGCCAGGAAATGATTGGACCAGTTGCCAAGGTCTTAGTTTTTTTTCCCCAATGTTAAGCTTCAAGCCAGCTTTTACACTCTCCTCTTTCACTCTCATCAAGAAGCTTCTTAATTCATCTTTACTTTTTGCCATCAAAGTGATATCATCTTCATATCTGAGATTGTTGATATGATTGTTGATATTTCTCCCAGCTGCCTTAATTCTGGCACGCTTACTAATTCAAAAAGTTGAGGTCTATAATCCATCAGAGACAGGCACAGGTTGGAGAGCTGAGAAACCAGTTCAAAGAGGAAGCAAAGGGAGCTTCTGAAAAAGACGGCAATTTCCAAGAGACAGTGGGAGGCAATGAAAGAGGGCTGTGCTCGGAATCAGAGGATCTGGGTTCAAATCCTGGCTCCCTCATTTACTAGCCAAGTGATCTAAGCCAAATTACTTCATTTTTTGGGGTCTCAGTTTCCTCAACTTTAATATGAGGGATTTGGTCTGGCTGGTGTCTGAGGTCCCTTTGGAAGCTAAGTCTACGAGTTTAGGACCCCCAGCAGTCACTTAATGCAGCAAACACGAGTCAAAATGGTCACGTAGAGAATCCCAGGATTTCTAAGCAGGAAGTATTCTCTAAGGTCAGCCAATATCTGAACAGGCTCTTCTGTAGGATTCCTGAAATACGGCCATCCAGTCTCCACTGAAAGACTTCCCATGATGAGGCCACTAACTCCTTCCTAAGACGGTCCTTTCTACCTCTGGACAGTCTTAATGAGGAGAAAGGTTGTTCTCATGTGGGGAGCTGGAGCCAGGCTTTCTGTCATGTCTACCCGTCGTTCCCACTTCCACCCTCTGAAGCCAAGCAAGAGTAGAGCCTTCTCGGAACACAAGAAAGAGACTTTCCGAGGTCTGTTATTCAGTCCAGCCCACCGCCTTCCAGAGGACAAATTGATGGACTTTCCAGGACAGGGAGACATCTAGTCCTTAGGATTGGGGCAACTAGGTGGCACAGTGGATAAAGTACTGGCCCTGGAGTCATGACGACTTGAGCTCAGATCTGGCCTCAGACACTTGACACTTACTAGCTATGTGACCTCGGGCAAGTCACTTAACTCCACTGCCTAGTAAAAAACAAAGAAAGAAAGAAAGAAAGAAAGAAAGAAAGAAAGAAAGAAAGAAAGAAGAAAACATCCAGGGATGGAAATGAGCTGTAACCACAGAAGGATTGGAAAACTGGAAAAAGGCACCAAGGTGTCCAGTCCCAGGCTTTACCTGCTCAGCCTCTGCTTCTGCTGGGATCACCAGGACCACATCTCCCCGTTTCAGGTTAAGCTCATCGGAATTAGCTGCCTCAAAATCATGGAGCGCTTCCACCTGAAAAGATGACACAAAAAATCAGCAGGCCATCTCAGAAAGGAAAGACCAAAAAGTAAAACCCAACCCTCCTGAATGTATGCTCTGGGTCCAGGAAATCCACAGCAACTGAGTCAAGAAGGCTTGGGTTCCAATCCTACCTCTGACACGTGGGAGCTGTGTGATCCTGGGTGAATCACTGAGCCTCTCTCTTCATCTATAAAATGGATATAATAACACCTGTAGTACCTTCTTTGCTGAGTGTCTACAATCCACACAGCTTCAAAGTGCTACTTAAAACAAACACCAAGTTGAAGACCATCCCACAGTAAAGTGTAGTTCATAGAGTGGAGAGCCAACAAAGCACTGGCCCTCAGTTGGGGCAGTCTGAGTGACCAGGGTTTGTTGACTAGCTAAAGGTCACTTCAGCTTTATGGCACCATGTGCTCCATTAGCAAAGCCACATTCCTGAAAATCATAATTCAAGCCACCACTTTTTGGTCAGTGACTTACACTATATAATCTAAGAAACTTCACCTTCATATACTAGATTAGAAGCTGCACGAGGGCAGGGACTCTGATTTAGCTACACTTTCTTTCAATCCTAGTACATAAGGAGTATTTGCAAAATAAACATAAACTTAATTCTGAGTGTTAGAGACCCTGCATCTGAAGCCTGATTTTGCTCTGTGGTCTCGGGCAAGCCAATTTCCAGGTTGGACTCACTTATCTTATGTGTAAAATGAAAAGGTTCAACTCTCTGGTTTAGGCAGCTAGGTGATGCTGTGGAAAGATCACTGGGCTTGGAGTCAGGAAGACGTGAGTTCAAAGCCTGCCTCCAGATACTAATTAGCTCTGTAACCCTGGGCAAGAATCAGCCTCAGTCTCCTCATCTGTAAAATGAAAGAGTTAGACCAATGAACTCTAAGATCCCTTCAAGCTCTGGATCCTAAGATTCTCTCTGAAGGTATCCATCCATTCATTCTGTTAGGCACTGTAGACTCAGAAAGACCCTGTCCTCAAGAGGTTCACATTCTATAAGTAGAAATAATATGTATAGAAATGAGTAAGTATAAAATGCATAGGAAGAACATCTAAAATAATTTTGGGGGCAGTGTGTAGAAGAGGGCAGCTTAGCTGAGCCTTGAGGGAAGTTAGGGATTTTGAGAGACAAAAGAGGCAAGGAAGGAAGGAACCCTAGGCTCAAGGACCACCTGAATCATTTCTGAGTTGAGGTGGGTGGGAGCAGGTGCTGAGGACCAGGGTGATGCTCCTGGTGTCCCTGGGCCATTAGAGAAGAAAGCCGTAACTAGATCTCACTCAGAATGGTTGTATGTTGGGGAGGTGGCCACCCCACCTTATAGAGGAAGCCTGGAGGGACTTGGGCAGCTTCGCTGCTGGATGGAAGGGCAGAGACCCCACCAGGAGCTGTAGGCTGAGCATCCTCCAGTGTCTTCTGGTCGCTGGCCAGCACTGACGTCTCACTGGAATCACCTTGGGCAGACATGTCTTCTCTTGTCTGGCTGACCTCTCCAGCCATCCCGAGCTCAAGTTCCTGCTCATCCTCTCCTTCATGGTTAGATGCCGGCTCAATGACAACTGATGGGATGACTTTCTCCTGAAGAAGAAAAAAATACTTAGAAACTCACAAACCTTCATTTAACTAGGAAAAAATCAGTTCAACAAACATTTATAGCAGAATCTTCGGGATTCAAGGAGGAGCTTCAGAAACCACTGATTTTACCTTTACTCTGAACTAGAATTCCCTCTTCAGTGTCCTTAAATGAGGTCTTCACCTGAAGACCTCCAGGGAGAGGGAGTCACAACCTCCAGAGAAGGGCCGTTCCACTCAGGGAGAGCCATGCTCACTGTGATTTTTCTTTCTTTCACAGAATTGAAATCAACCTCTACAACTTCTTCTAGTTTTGCCCTGGGCTAAGAAGAATAAATTCAATCCCTCTTCCAAATGATAGACTCTCAAGTTCTTAAAGTCAGTAATCATGGCCAACTTAAGTCTCCTCTTCTCTTCTGAAGAAGGAAAGTAATTGGATTACATCAAGGGTGAGTGAAGGTAGCACCTTCCTTCCTTCCTTCCTTTCTTCCTTCCTTCCTTCCTTCCTTCCTTCCTTCCTTCCTTCCTTCCTTCCTTCCTTCCTTCCTTCCTTCCTTCCTTCCTTCCTTCCTTCCTTCCTTTCTTCCTTCCTTCCTTCCTTCCTTCTTTCCTTTCTTCCTTTCTTCCTAGTAGCTAGAGTGCTGCCTGGAGTTAGGAAAATCTGAGTTCAAAACTAGCCTCAGACCCTTACTAGCTCTGTGACCTTGGGCAAGTCATTTGACCTCTGTCTCATTTTTCTTATCTGTAAAATGGGGATGATAACAGAACCTACCTCCCAAGGTTGTTGTGAAGATAAAATGAGAAAATATTTGTTAAAAGCTTTGCACAATGCCTGGCACATAGCAGGCATAATATAAATGCTAGCTATTATTATTATTATTATTCATTCACTCATCCACCAGGTACTTATAAATACCTCCTATGTAGTACCAGAGAAGAGAGACAATGTGATCTAATGGACAGAAAACTGGTTTCAGAGACAGGAGGGCTTAGGTTCAAATTCTGTCTCTGACCCATATCGGTTGAGTGACCCTGGGCAAGTCATCAGCCTCTTGGCATTCCTAGACCACCATGGAAGACCGGAAGCTGCAGAGAAGATCCTTATCTATAGAGCTAGAAGGACTTTCTTTCCAGGAACTCCCTATACTCCCTGCAGGTTAAAAGAATAATGGCAACAAAAAAATTAGAAACCAAGCAAACACGGAGACAGTGTCCACCTTCCAAGAGCTGACATTTTGTTAGGAGAAAAGAGCATGTTCCCACAGCAAATTAAACATGAAATCCCTGCAGAACCCCAGAACCAGAGGTAGAAGGACCTCAGAGGCCCGAACTCTGCTCAGACATGAAAGGAATCTCCCCCCAACATGCCAGGCAGTGGGCACCCAGCCTCTGCTTCCAGACGTAGGGGGCAGCCCGGGCACTTTGGGGCAGCTCTCCTGCTGAGAACAGTTTAACTGATGTCTGGCCTGAATTGTTCTCTTTGCACTCCTTAGTCCATTGTTTCTCCTTCTGCCTTCTGGTCCTAGACAGAACAGATCCCTCCTCCCATGACAGCCTTTCAAATACTCAGACTTCTATCACATTCCTCTCTCCCTCTTCCCCTTCTCTTCTCCATGCTAAGGATCCTCAGTCCCTTTCATCAATCCTCAGGTAATGTGGGCTCCAGACTTTTAGCATGCTGGTGATCATCTTCTAGACACTCTGGCTTATCAATGTCCTTCTTTAGTTATGGTGCCCAGAACTGATCCCAATGGTCTAGAAGAGGTTGGATCAGGGAAGAGTACAGTGGGAATTTCACCATTTTATTATTAGAAGTGTTTATTCATCTAAAGGCAGTCCACAATTGCATTAGCTTTTTTTTTGTTGACTCCCACACCACTGACTCATATTCAACTTGGGGTCCACTAAAGCCCCTGGATCTTTTTCAGAACAACTATAGTACACCATGTTTCCCTTGTATTATACTTGTGAAGCTGATTTTTCTTTTTGTATCTAAGTGCAAGACTGTACAATGATCTCTACTGATTTTCAGCCCAATGCTCTAGCCCATGGGTCAGCAAAATACTGAACGAAATCTGACTCACTGCCTTTTTAATTTTTTTTAGTACAGTCCTTAAGCTATGAATGGTTTTTACATTTCAAAATACAATTATTTAAAAACAAAACAGGCAGCAGGCTGAAATTGACCACAGGTCAATTGTTGACCCTTGCTCTATCCTGTTAAGACAACTTCGGGCCCTGACTCTGTCGCCCACGGTGTTAATGAGGCCTTCCAGCTTTGGGTCATCTGAAAATCTGACGAGCATTCCATCTACGGTTTCATGAGAGTCACTAACAAAATGGTAAGCAGCACAGGACCAAGCCAGGTGTCAGATAATACACCACCAGGCTGGCATCAGATCAGTAGCAGCCACTCTTTGAGTCTGGCTCTCCAGGCAATACATTCCGGGATGGAAACACACCAGTGTAACATGTGCAGGTGTTCTCATCATTTCCCAACACACAACACTTTGTCTGACCTCACAGGGCCACCATCTTCTACCAGGGCCTTTACCTGGATCCTAGCTGCTTCCATGTCTTCTGTCCCAGCTCGATCACTCTCAATGGCCTCCCTGGTCTCTGTAACAGCTTGGGTCTCAACAAGGCTCACTCCTTCGCCCAAGGGGAGGGCTTCACCTTCTACGACAACCTCTGGGGCCTCCTCAGCAGCCCCCACTGGGGCTCCAGCGGCTGCAGGGACGGTGTCAGCATCCTCTACTGTCCCCACCTACAAATAAGATGCCCAAAGAAGTCAGACCTGGCCATTTGGGTGGGCGCAAACTCAAATTTGGCCAAAGCCTGCTTCCTATTTTTAATTCTACTTCTTCAGAGAACTCCTCGAGGCACTGAAATTCACTGGACACCAATGTCCAGCTAAGCACTGAAGGGATCCACAGTAAAATAAGAAATAGGTAAAGCTGTAACTAGCAATGGCTTTGGGGCTGGCTAGATGGTACAGGGGAGAAAGTGCCAGGCCTGGAATCAGAAAGACTCATCTTCCTGAGTTCAAATCTGGACTCAGATACTTACTAGCTGTGTGACCCTGGGGAAGTTACTTAGCCCCAATTGCCTTAGTTTCCTGATTTGTAAAATAAGCTAGAGAAAGAAATGGAAAATCACTCCCATATCTTTGCCAAGAAAACCCCATATGGGGGCCATACTGAGTTGGACGTCACTGAACAACATCAACAATTGGGGTTGGCTCCAATGGGGTGTAGGCACTCCTGGGTGCAACTTAGGCCTTTTAAACTTTTTGTCTACAACAGGCCTCTAGGTCAAGGCCACCACCATTGGTAGAGTAGCCAAGGGATGAGCTGGAAGTGGGGAGGCACACCCTTGAAGGGAGCTGTTTGTTTCTCCTTAATTTACCATCACAAGCAAAGGTCCAGAGGCCCTGCCCTTGTTATAGCTTTGAAATTAGGTCCTTTATGTACTTGTAAATCAACTCTTAAAACAACTTTGATGTTAAATTGTCTTCCTTGGTGTTTAACAAAGTGGCTGGTATGCTGCAAGTACTTTAGTAAATGTTCATTAAATGACTGAATGGAGGGTTACATAAAGTAATGTATTTATATAATTAATATGGTTATATGATATATTAACATATTTGTTGCACTTCACAAACTTTAAGGCCTATATAAATACTAGCTATCACTATCATCATCATCACCATCATCATTACCATCATCACCAGCACCATCATCATTATCATCACCATCACCATCATCACCATCATCATCACCATCATCACCATCTTTACCATCACCATCATCACCATCA